CTAATTTGTTTAGTTATTGAGTTTTAGTCCCTTTTAGTCACCAGAATATATATATATATATATATATATATATATATAAACTATATCAATAGTGCATCAAAATTAAATCATTTTTATTTTAGTTGTGTTATTTATCTATTGTTTAACATTACTTAATTAATGATTACAACGGAATATGTTATGGTTGAATATCGTGAGCTAAATCAGCCAGAAGTTCAATACAGTAAGGTTCATAAGTTTAGCTGCAACCTTGGGTTGACCACTCTCCAAGGCTCAACCACACTATCACATTCAATGCTTCATTTGCTTGAGTTAGAAAATTCCAATGCATAGCCACATAAGTCATGTCAAGAGGTTTAGGTCTATTTATTAATTAGAGGCACCCACATTACTTAAGTTTACCTCATACTTGTTTTTGGATAATAGAGTAATAATCGCCGGTATGACATCTGTTGTTGTGGATCGAGTCTAAGTTCAATGCAATCTATATCTTTGGTGAAGTCTAAATGCATCTATAAAAGTTGATCAAAGTCAACTTTCAATACTAAAATTACATGAATACATGCTAAACTAATGTATAATCATCCATAAAGGGCCTTGGCTGCGTGCCACAAATTTCAACTCAAGTCTAACACACATGTATGTTTAATGCCACTATGAAAGGTACACATTTAACCTTAATTAGTATCTTAGTAGGTGCGATATTAAATGTTTATTATAAATTTATAATAAATTATATATAAATAAATATTATATTTAAATATATAAATTATATGTAATGTAATATTATATGTTTTGAGTGTTTTACTTTAATTATATGATTAATTGTGAGTTGTTGATAGTGTTGTTGTTTGAAAACTTTAGTAGTCAAGGGACCTTGAAAGTTAGGTTGTCCTCAAGTATAGTTAAGTTAGTTCAGCTTTAAGGAGGATATATAAAAAAAATTTAAGATGTGAATCTCATAAGTTCATGTTTCAAGAAATTCTAGGGAATAGCTAGTGAAAATTTATCTAGGATTCAGGTTTTCTTCTCCCTCTTTCTAGACTAAAACCCTTCTATTCTTCATTCCTTGTAGTTGAATCAGTTGGCTAAGCTAGAGATTTGAAGTGTGTAGAGCCAAGAATCTCAAGTTAGAAGTCATACGTAGTTCTTCCTTTTATTCTTGGTTTAGATCTACAAGAGATAAGGGAAGCTTGTTTTCAAAGAAATATTGCTTAATGATAATTTGTTGTTGCCTGGAATCATTTATATATAGTTGTTAATTGATTGAATTCATGAGATGAGAATTGATGAAGTTGGGGTGTCTTGAAATGTTGGTTGTGAAGGGTGGTTGATGATCCTTGTGAATCTCGGTTGCATGTTGATTTTGGAGTTGTTTTTGATTCATACAAATTGACAATATGTTGTATATCTTGTTGCATGTTGGATTCTAAGTAGATTGAGCAATCTAATTCTGCATAAGTGTCACTCCAAGCGTGAGAGAGTGAGAGGCTCTCTGTCTTAATCATGTTGGGTGTGGATAGTTTGACATCGAGCATGGGTAAGATGGGAAGCTCCTTGTCTTAATGGCGTCGGGGGCCCAAGAGATGGTGTTGAGCATGAGTTGCATGATTTTAATGTGATGTTTTTAAGTTGTTTCATAAATGAAAGACGGTGATTAAGTTGTATGATGAAGATGATATCATTATGTTTTGAGTTGATAGGCTATTTAATGATGTTTAAGCAACTAAGGTGTAAGCTAATAGATGATTAATTTGTGAAAGTTATATAATGCTATAATTGATTATGTTGTTAAGTTGTTAGACATGTAGTATAGATACATGTCTTTGCTAAGATACATAAAAACTAAAAAAGAGTAAAAAATGTTTTAGAAATTAAAATATCTCATATAAATTATGGTGCTCCATAAGCCTAGTTGATAACCTTTCAATAAATAAGTTGGCTTCTGAATAGGTGATTGTTTTAAGTTGTCTTGTCTAGGCTTTATGTAGAATTTGTATGTAGATAAGGTCGAGACATATATGTATAAAGTGATCAACTGAGTAAAGTATAATATTGGGAACTTAGTCTTTAACTGAGCATTGAAAGGGCGTAATATTTGGAGGATAGTATACAGACTAATTTTATACAAAGCTTAGTGTTGAAAGTTAATGTCATGGTAAACTCATATCCAAACTACCTTGACAATAGTACTAAACTTCTTAGTTAAAGTGACAAAACTTCAGAAATCAAATTTAAGTTGTAAACATGACTTTCTTTGAGGCCAAACATTGTCTATACTTGACATAGTTGCGATAGGTCAGATGTCATGATTCGGTAGGATTTAGCCACTTAAACTACTTACCTTTATTATAGGAGATTTCCATATAATTGATATGTGCAGTGTCACATTAGTTGTTTAAAGTTGTTATGATGATATTGTTGTGGTTTCATAAGTTGTTGAGATGTTGGTATGATGATGTAGTTTATAAGTTGAAGTTAATATGTAGAGTTGGATTAAATGTTGATTAAGTTGTTTGTGTTGTATTGTTATAAATTAATGCTATGAATGTATGTTGAATTTGTTCTACAAGCTTACCTTTTCTTTTTCTTTTGGTTGAATCTACAATGATCATACTTTGTATGAGAGTAAGACAAAATTAGCAAGTTTACTTGGATAGTTGGTGATGAGTCATGTTGGTGATA